AGATTTTGCAAAAACTTCAAAGTTCATACCATCAAAACGATGTTTCTCACATTTCATCTCTAGAAAGAAGTATACTCCTTCAAGAATAGACACCAAAACATCACACAATATTTTACTATTTTCACGAAACTCAAGCAAAAAATTTGAAAATTTTAGGCCTTTTTCACATGCAGCTCAACAATAAATATACCTCTAAACTAATAAAAAAAATTGTCAATTGTAACCTATACATCATATTGTAAATTATTTAACATGTCTCTATATTGCCGACCTCATTTATATTTTAGAAATCCAAATTCAACAAAGATTTAGTTATTGGATGTCTACATATTAGAAATCCAAACTCAACAACAATGCTGCAATTTAATTGATATTTCGTTTCGTCAGTAAATTATTAGCTTGAAAATAATGTTGACAGGTAGTATATATTGTCATATTAATATATTTTTCATTCATTCCAAAATAAGTGTTACCAATCACATCCCAATTATAACATTATTCGTTATCAATTTTATTACTAGAACCAACAGTAGTCATTTTAACATTTTTTTTATGAGGAAGTAATAGATGTTGAACATATTTTGGTATTTGAAGTTTATGTTGGACCAAAATCAAATCAAACAGACACCAAATTCCAGGCCAAATGCTTTAGCTCACATAAGGGTCAGATTCCAGGCCAAATACTTTAGCATATCTGCTCTTCACAATTAGTAGTAGATGATACATGCATGTTTACTGTATGTTTGGTAGCTTTAGCCTCTGCTTTATCAGACGTTGGAGAAAATGCTTCAACATTAGGTATGAACAAAAGTGTCCCTTAAGTTTCAATAGAAGTACTAACATTATTCATAGAGTGTGGTTCATCTTTCTTATTCATGGAAGCTAAAACATTTTCACAAAGAGTAAGTTTAGGTGTCTCTTGAATAGATAAGCTTACTTGAGATTTCTTATTTTTTTTATACACATCATTCTTCTTCTTTTCCAGCAGGAGCAACTATTCGTAGATGAATAGAATTGAACAAAACATGTTGATTAAAACGTTTGCTGCTAGATACGGAAACCCTAGATTTATTTGGAGAAAAATTCTCCCAAGTTTCAATCTTAGATATCTTGTCCCTATGAACATTCGAGATTAGCTTGGAGCTAGACTCATTTGCAGCATTTGATTGTTGACTCATCTTCATATTAGTTGGAGGACAGAGAATGTGAACGGACAAGTTTGAATAGAGAGTGAGAAGCAGTTTGCGCATGAGAGCTGGAAACATATATTAAGTGTTTGAATTTAAACAGGTTTTTCTTATTATATGAGTTGAACTGACTTTAAAAGAGAGAACCTTTGCATGCCTCTCACTACTAAATAACCTCTTGATTTCACTTCTGTAGTCACTAACATCCACCCAATACCTTTTATCCTTATAATATGAGTGAACCTTCCTATTAGAATTATTTTGTATGATGTCAAAACTAAGATACTTTATCAGGTATGTATATTGAACGGTATCCTTTGAGCCTTAATGTGAATCTTAGCATTAGGAAGCATAAAAATATTTTAGAAATTAAAAAACTTGAATGAAGTGAAAGACAAACTAGTATCGACTAGTGTTATCCAACCAGAGTTGTCGACGCAAAAACTGGTGGGGGTAGGTGAGTTACCAAGAATTTTTAAAATTTTTGAAACTTTTTCCATCGACAACATGACAAATTACAATTACCGAAGGGAAATTGTTGAGTTCCTTAAAAACCCAACAGGAACAACGGATCAAAAAAATGGAATATAAAGCGCTAAGTTACATCACTATTAAGAACTAGTTGTTCAAAAAGACTTCACAAGAGGTGTTTCTTAAATGCATTAGTGACAGTGAAGTCTATTTGGCATTTTCTCACTCCCACAACGGATCGTGTGGTGCTCACCAGGCAGGCCACAAAATGAAGTGGTTATTGTTTCGAGAGGGGGTATACTCGTCCACTATGTTGAAGGATTGTATTGAGTTCGCTCGAGGATGTCAAGAGTGTCAGAAACATGGAGGAATAAAACATGTTCCCACTAGTGAGTTACATTTGATCATCAAGTTGTGGCCATTCAGGGGATGGGCGTTAGACTTAATAGGTGAAATCAATCATGCATCTTCTACAAGTCATAGATATGTCCTAGTGGGCATTGATTACTTTACAATATGGGTCAAGAGAGAGCCTATAACTAACATCGACTAAGACACGATGATTGACTTCATACAGATTTTTGTCATGTGCAGATATAGGACTCCTGAAACCATAACTATTGATCAAAGGTCAGTATTCGTCGACAGAAAAGTAATGGAGTTTGCCACAGAGATGGGAATCAAGTTCCTAATGCCGACCCCTTATTATACACAAGCTAATGGCCAAGTAGAGGCTGCGAACAAAGTTATCATAAGCTTAATAAAAAAACATAGTCAAAAAGCACATAGTTATTAAAAATCCTAATTAATTAATAATACTCATTTGATTGTTTAGTTATTTAAATATGCATCATTATTCATTCTACCCATTACATAATTATGCATTTGTATTCATCTAAGAAATTAATTAACAATCGATAATATGATCCAAAATAAACAATTAAAAAACCCTTGGTCTAACGCCAAGTGGGCTTTTCAAAATTTTAGGTCCAATGCCAAGTAACCTTTTCAAACTCGATTAGTTTCATATCGATGCAATTCAAATCTTTTCCCGATTAAGCGTAATATTAAAACCCTTTTTCTTAACAAACACGAAAGAATAGGACCATGTGAGTCTCGCATTCCTTGAATCCTCAAATGATCGGTTCCAAGGCACACGTCTTGGGCTAGCCGTTTATTTCTTCTTTCATTTCTAAAAACACTTAACGCAAACTTGGACAAAACAGGGGACCGATGGAGTCTAGCATTTTAGTAGAACCTTTGAGCAATCAATTTTGAGGCATACGTCTCTTTCGTATTGAATGTTCGTTGCCCATCAAACAAATTTCATAAATGCATCGAATGAAAAAGCTTCGTTGAAGTCTAGCATTCTAGTAAACCCCGAGTAATTGGTTTCGAGGCTCACGTCTCGTCTCATCAAATACTTGTCATTTGCCTAAACATACCCAACACATCAGATTTATCTTCTCGTCTCCGTGCAATCGAAAACCTTTGTCAAAAGGGCATTGTTTAGTCTGCCTTAACGTGTATATAAACTAACGCTTAAGTCTCCACCGCAAGCATGTAAGCCAACGTTTAACCGTTAAAATGCGGTCTAAACAATTATTCGATAAAACGAATAAACCGATCAAAACTTCTCTTTCAGAAATGAGTATGCTTTATCCATTTCGACGTAAAATAAACAAAGGCTTCAGTCTCCAAGAGCGAGCAACAAGAAAAGGTTTAATCACTCTAAATGTCTAAAGTAACACTCTTAAAAACAAACAACCGACATGTAGTTTTCTATGCAGAACTACGTAGCTTTGAATTTCTCATTGTACCTGAGGATATGTAGGAGTGAGACCCGCAATCTCATCAAGCACCCTAATAAAAATATTTTTGCAACCCATTTTCTTTTCCTTTTGCACTTTTGTCATTCGAAGAAAGACATTAACATAAGCTAACATTCAATCGCAAGTTTAACTAAAAGATTTATGTTGAGTACAACAGACGTGAGGGGTCTTAATATCTTCCCCTTGTGTAATCGACTATCGAACCCGAATTTAGTTGCGACGACCATCTTCTATTTTTAAGAGTTTTATCTATATTTTCCCTTTCCTTCTTTGAAATAAATAAAGTTTGGTGACAGCTCTGTTCGAATCATTTTTTCCGCGAGCGTGTGATACGCTTTTCAAAGAATCGTATTTTTCAAAATACGATAATATCATACCAATATGTTCAACCCCTTATTCATGCACCCTAGTGATAAGCCTGGCCTCACTATTATCTTTTCATCCGTGAATAATTCAAATTATCATTCTTAGTCGCAGTCAAAGTTGTCATTTGATCTAAATATAAACTAGGGTCATAAATGAAACCCAAATTCATCGAGCAACTTCAATCGAACATCAATCGCTTCGGATCTCTCCAATACAATAGTAATAGTATAGATTACCAACTCAATTGAAACTAAAATCTAAAAAAGTGTCTTCTAAATACACGCAACGCAAGAGATTTTACAAGAATTTCAAGGTTGGTACCATCAAAACGATGTTTTTCACATTTGAGCTCTCTTGAAAGAAATATACTCCCTCAAGAATATAGACCAAAACATCACACAATATTTTACTATTTTCACGAAACTCAAGCAAAAAATTTAAAAATTTAAGGCCTTTTTCACGTGCAGCTCAACAATAAAAATACCTCTAAACTAATAAAAAAAATGGCAATTGTAACCTATACATCATATTGTAAATTATTTAACATGTGTCTATATTGCCGACCTCGTTTATATTTTAGAAATCCAAATTCAACAAAGATTTAGTTATTGGATGTCTAAATATTAAAAATCCAAACTCAACATATGAATATATTATTCATTCATTCCAAAAGAAGTGTAACCAATCACATCCCAGTTATAACATTATTCGTTATCAATTTTATTACTAGAACCAACAGTACTCATTTTAACATTTTTTTGATGAGGAAGTAATAGATGTTGAACTTTTATTTGGTATTTGAAGTTGATGTTGGACTAAAAAGGTATCAAACAGATACCACAGCTACACATAAAAACACAAAATTTGATAGAACAATTCAAAATTCTATAAAATAAATTATTACATCCATACAATACAAGTGAGCTAAAAACGAAGGAAAAAAAAGTGAAAATAGTGGTTGAACACACAACTTCAGAATCCATTAAAATTATTGCCTAGTTATAGGGCTTACTTGATGAATCTAAAAAATGCAAAAGGATTTCAGAAATTAAAATATCATGGTGAATATTCTAGTTTAAGTAAACAAGCACAACAGATTTACCAAAAATAAAACATATCCCAACTAAGGTTGTTTTCGCGGTAATCACTGGCAGAGTTGTTCAACTGCAGTCACAATTTGAGCAGGTTGGACCACAGTCCATTCCTCCAATGTTCCGGCATATGGAGTCGGCACATCTTGAGAGGATAAACATATAATAGGAGCATCCAAATAATCATGGAAATTTTCAGTAATGGCAGCAGTGAGACTAGCACCAATTCCACCCGTTCGCATGCACTCCTCCACTATGAGCACCCGATGCGTCTTCTTAATTGAGTTTCCAATTGTGTGAAGATCAAATGGTTTCAAAGACCTGATATCAATGACTTCAGGGTCATACCCTTTGTTCACCAATGTCTTTGCAGCTTGCATGACATGATACCTCATTCTTGAATAGGTTAGTATTGTGACATGCTCTCCGGGCCTAACCATCTCGGCTTCTTCAAGTGACAATACATACTCTTCATCTGGGATTCTTTCCTTGAGGTTATAAAGCAAAACGTGCTCGAAAAGTATCACAGGGTTGTCGCTTCGAATTGCGGCTTTCATCAAGCCCTTGGCGTTGTAAGGTGTTGAGCAAGCCACCATCTGTATCCCAGGAATCGACTGAAAGTATGACTCCAGCCGCTGCGAGTGTTCTGCTCCAAGTTGTCGTCCGACTCCGCCGGGACCACGAATGACAACTGGAATTTTAAACTGGCCTCCGGATGTGTAATGAAGCATGCCACAGTTGTTAGAGATTTGGTTAAATGCAAGAAGTAGAAATCCCATGTTCATGCCCTCGATGATTGGCCTAAGACCGGTCATGGCAGCTCCAATGCCCATGCCAGTGAAGGCGTTCTCGGCAATAGGGGTGTCCAAAACTCTGAGATCACCGAACTTTTCAGCCAGGTTTCTAGTCACCTTGTAAGATCCTCCATAATGACCTACATCTTCACCCATGACACAAACAGTTGCATCCCTTTCCATTTCTTCCTCCAAACCTTCACGTAGAGCTTCAAAAAGGAGAAGTTCATGCCTAAAAATAAAATGAACATCTGATGAAAAAAATGCCAGCACGTGTTTTAGCAAATTCAACCAATCAATGTGACCAATAAGAGAAAAAATATGCCAGCACTAGGCATGAACCAACTACCTCGAAATGTAGTGCTAACAGGTAAAGAAGCACACGAATGGTCTTATACCTAACATATAACATTCCACCAAAAGCAAGAGCGCTTTGTAACAAAAGCAATGACCTTAGTCACACACACAAATGATCTAATACTACCGTGTCATGAACCAGCCACCACAAGAGCTTAAGTTGTTTGCTGAAAGCAGGTAAAGGGCTTTATATCCAAATTTTGACAAAATACAATACGCAAGAAATATCTATTACTCCTGTCATATATCTTAGGAGTTGTTTCTATATTTCATTATATTTTCTAAATTAAGAGATCTTCCAAATACTTCTAACATATAGAAATTGGATGAGTTTAGCCTGTGTTAGTATAACCATTTAGAGTTGTAATGTTGTTTTCAGACGGAAAATACAGCCTTGTTCATCACAAAATAAAATAAAAAATTGAAAAGAAATTCCATAGCACTATTCAATATTTTCAGGAAGCATTGATAAACAATAAAAAAGATAAACTGAATTGACTAATTAGTATATTGCAACTACAACCTCCAATATTCCATCTCACTTATCAGAGGTTAAAATTGTGCTTGTACTGGGATGAAAGTTGAACCGGTAGACAGTTTATCCACATTCTTTACCACATCACAGGTAGGGAAGTTTAGACTACAATTCACTTTTTTGGCTTCCCTTCGTTTTAATGCTTAAAGTTTTATACATATCAAGCATACACTAAAACCATTCTTAATTGAAGCAAAAATGAGCAGATGCAAATTGTGCAAGGCTTGTGGATTTTATTGTGTTTGATTTTCAAAAAGTTACCAATCCACTCCCCATCAAATCATAATCCTAGTATTATTCGTACTTTGTAAACAAGACTACGTTATTACAATTTTTACGTGTAATATAAGGATGAAAACCATAACAGAAATATCAACATACACTTGAATTACACATAGAACAAAACAACATCAAGTGATTGTAGGAAAAGACATACCCAGGTTTTGATGCAGAAGCCACAGAACTACTTCCTTGTGTCTATACACATACAACAAAAAATCACAAATGATTACAAACACATTTGCAAACCAAACCTCAAAAAAAAAAACACAATGGAGTCGTAGTGATGAGATAACTTACAGCAACTGCATTAGGAATCAACAATTCACTCTTCCGAGTAGCTCCTGACTTCAGAACCTGGTTCCCCTTTGCATCAGATCTGACAACAAAAATGCTACTTTTCCTCTCTGAAATCAGTTACAAAATGAAACAAAACAGCGTTCAAGGTCAATAATCTTAAACCCTGAAAAAAGAAAGTGAACTGAATAATAAAATCCCTAATATACGCAGGTTTCATGGAAAATACAAGAACCCCATTCAATTATAAGAAAAACCCGAAAATAAAAAAGCATTCAACGATTCAAAAACTTGCAAACCTGAGAGGGATCTACGAGAAGAAAGGAGAAGCTTGGTGGATTCAAAGGAATTGGATGGAGATAGAGGAGTAACAGTTCCTAATCCCTGGAAAAGGGTAGCCATTTGGATCAGAGAGAAGAAGAATGGAAATGAAGGATTGAAGGAAAAGAGTATGAATATAAGAGGAAAAGTGGGCGGAGAAATTAAAGAAGAGTTATAGCTGTGTGTGTGTGTTTTTGTTGTTGAGTTGTAAATGTATGTGTCTCTGTTTTTCCGTTCTCACAAAGGTTTTTTTTTATAAATTGTCTTGTTGAATTGCATTGTTTCCATCGACAATATCACTTCTTTTTGGTTGTGGACGATGATGTTTTATTGGTGGCCTAACTAGATCCAAACCTCTTGTTACTTCTAATGGCACCTCCCTTTCTTCTGTGGGCTCTGTTTTTATGGTTTTTATTGAATTCGGCCCAATTCATTTGTTTAGGTTGTGGCTATCTCCCAAATTATACCTGACACCCCCTCAAAGTTTCATATATTCAGAACTGCCCTCAGGTGAAAAACACATCAAATTTCTGTATGAAATTTTCTATAGGTATAAAGTTCATTTGAAATTTCTAGTGTACCAAAAATTTAGTAATTTCCGGTAAGTTACATACTGTTTCGGAAATTTGAAATTTTTGTGGTGATACCGGAAATTTCAACCTAAGTGAAATTTTCGGTAGTTTCATTTGTATGGGCCCGACTCACCAACAGCAGCATATGGTTGTACCACCCGAGCAACCTCCTCCGAACCAATATCCTCAACAACCTACTGAGCAACTGGATCAACCATCGGCTCAACCACCGGCTCACCAACAGGATTAGATACATGAACATCTGGAAGCACCTCATATGTAGCATGCTCTACTAGTCAAACTGGTCGGCGCCAAGTGGAACGACGTGCCTGGAAATGACCCTGCTCAGCCAACCGCTTCTGATGTGAACCGGTTCGGGCAACTCGTTCTGCCCGTAGCTGAGAAGACTCAGTATCAGCACCATTGTCAGTCTTACCCTGGTCTGCCGCTCGATCGACAGCTCTCCCTGCAATAGTGTCGTCTCTGCCTCTGAATTTCACTGTAAAAGAAGAAAAAAATAAATATTGAAAAAAAATAATGGTAACTACCAGAAATTTCAAAATTTCAGGTACAAAATTAGATTTTTGAAACAATCAAAAAATTTGAAATTTCTGGTACAAAACCAGATTTTTGAAATTTCCAGTAAAATTTCTGGGTTATCTACCGATTTTTTAAAATTTTTGGTAAAAATTATAAGTTCTGTACCGAAATTTTTAAAATTTTCGGTAGAAAATACCGGAAATTATGAAATTTCAGGTACAAAATACTAGAAATTTCAAAATTTCCAGTATAAAATACTGTAAATCATGAAATTTTAATGGAAAAACTCATTGTTTTCTAAATTTTCGGTATCGCCTCAGGGATTTGAAGTTTCCGTCTCACCACTGTAAATTTTGGGGGGGAAATTTGCAGGGTCAGTTTGGTCTTTTCATACACATTGGGGTGTGGCAAGTTAATTTCTCCATTTATACAAGATTTTTTTTGTTTTTTTTGGAATTTCTTATCCCACGCTATGGGATGGAAAAACACCTATGGAAAATAAAAAATGTCCCTAAGATTTTAGAGATGTATTTCCGGATGCACCATACATCATCTTATGACGCACCAAATGAGTGTTACCCTATATTAAAACAAAAATTCATTTTGTAGATGCATCTCCTAGTAATTTTAACAACTATATTGATTTATGAGCATCCCAATGGATACTCCAGAGATGCATCTTCGGAGGTTTAGGTCAAAATTTTGAAATTTCTATCAGATTTGCATGTCAAATATTTTCGGATATGCATTGCCAGAATAAGTTGATGAAACACTCACCTGCATGATCACAAACCCATACTTGTTTTCCACTCCAAACCATTTCCAAAAACTCTTTCATTGTCAATCCACAATTTCACTCCAAATCTTCATTCTTGTGTTTCATTACATCAAAGGGAGCAAAAGAAACTAGAATTTCAAGTAAAGATCATTTATTTCAAGCCTCGTTGCTCACATTAATCTTATTTTTTAGCTGAAAATGTTTGATTAATCTGGAGATACATCTTTGGATTCTGTATGAACTCTTCCAGAGATCCATCTCCGTAGACTGTTTGTTCTCATTTTCCATCTCTGTTTACAAAATTAGTAGTTTTTGTGTTTTTTTTTATCATAACGGTTTTCATTATATATGGTGTACCCCAGTGTTTTCCCCAAACATATTGTGTTTCTGAATGTCAAAGGTGTTGTGAAGAAGGTAGATGTTGGCAACCAATTTAAAAACGAGCAAGAGTTTGAATTTCATGATCACATGCTTCAATGGATTTGTACAGAAGCCTCCAAACTAGGATTTGGTGTGGTAATCAAAAGGTATGATAATGGTTCGGATAGAAGAGATGCATTTGTGACAATGACAACCGAAATAGGTGGGAAATATAGACCTTTTCTCTGAAATTTTAAATGAGATGACATCAGTTTAAGAAAATGTGAGTGTCTCTTTAAGTTGCGCGGTTATATGTTGGAAAATAAGAAATCGAGATTTAATGTCATATGTTGTTTACATAACCATGGCTTGTATGAAAAATTAGTCGGTCATCCAATTTTGCTTGTCGCCTCATTCCGGAAGAGAAGGAATGCATTTCAGACATGACATTGAATTTGGTTCAGCCAAAAAAATATACTTGAAACTTTGAAACGTAAAAGACCTTAAACTATCTCAAATATCAACCAAGTGTATAATATTTGGTATCAAAATAACAAGGCACTAAAGGGTGATATAAGTGAAATGCAATAACTATTAAAACTTTTGGATGATAACAGTTATGTTTCCAAGAAGTACAAACTTTCACTATTGGAGATGGTTTGTGTTACCTCTACTGAGAAGACATATTTTATCGGGTTTGCATTTCTAGAGAGCTAAAATAGGAGAATGTTAGTTGGGCCTTAGAAGTGTGTTGGGCAATGTTGCAGGACCAAGAAGAGATGCAGAAAGTAATTGTTACTGGCCGCAATACCGCTTTGATGAATTCAGTTGCAAAGTCATTTCTTATTTCTTATGCATTACATTGTAGGTATCACGAAATAAAAAATATGAGAAGTCTGGTTAAATCCGTGGTAGGGACGAATCAGATAAAGGTCAAAGATGGAAAAATGGTGAAGGCGTGTGTGATAGTGGAAAAAACAATGGATGCATGGAATGTTATAGTAAATTCTTATACTAAAAGGTTATATTCTGATTTTGTTATACATTTTAAGAAGGTGTGCAAGAAATATTCAGATTTGTTGAAATATGTTGAAAGCACAATTCTGGACCAGGTGAAGGAGAAAATTGTTTGTGCATGGATAGATCAGGTTAGACACCTTGGGAATACAACAACGAATCGAGTTGAGGCTTCCCATGCTAAATTAAAGAATTAGTTAGGAAATAGTAAGGGAAACTTGTGAAGAGATTAGGAATCTGTGAACCAAATGATCTAAAACCAGCATAATGAGTTACAAACATCATTTGGTCAGAGCATCACAGTTTTAGAACACAGATTTAAAGACAACAATCTTTATTCTCAATTGGTCAACAACATATCTTGAGCAAGTTTGAATTATATTTTTTAAGAAGCTAAATGAGTTGATAATGTAGGCTTCGATAGTGCAAACTATGGTTGCACAATCGTGAAAACCTATGATCTCTCATGTGATTTACTTATAATAAAGAAAGTGATATTAGGTATCTATCGTACCTCAAAAAATACAATCCTCGCGATGGACGCGGAAAAAACATTCGAACAGAGTCGCCACCGGACTTTATTCATTCCAAAGAAGGAATGGGAAAATATCAATAAAACCTTTAAAGAGATAAGAACATGGTCGTCGCAACTAAATTCTAGGTTCTTGAGTCGATTATGCAAAGGGAAGGTATTAGCACCCTTTACATCTGTTGTACTCAACGGGAATCTCTTGATTCGATTTGAGAGAAACGTTAGCTAGGTTGTTTTTTTTCTTCTAAGGATTCACTTTTAAGGGGGGAAATGGGTGGTTTTATAGATAGGGTGCTCGCCAAGGATTGGGGCCCTTGTGCCTACATACTCCCTTGTACAATGGAAAAGTCAGAGCATCGTAGTTCGTGGGACTACGCGTAAAAGTTTGAGGTAAAAGGAAGGTGGAGGGAAGGTAGAAAAAATAAAAGGTAGCTCGTCAGGATCTTGCAATCCTATGCCTACATATTCTCATTGATAAATGAGAAATCAGAGCGTCCGTAGTTCGGACGACTACAGTTGGTTGGTTTGTGAACGAGAGTTTAGGTCGTATTCTAACTGCTAAATGTTGGCTTGTCTGCTTGCTAGGGGGGCTGAAGCACTAGTTTATATGCACGGAAGAAGGGACTAACAATGTTCTTTGGGAAAGGTGTTTGAGCTGTGGAAAGAATCGAGAAAGTTGGGGAAGGAGAGCAACAAAGGGTTTGATGGTTACCCCCTTATTTCTGCGTTTTTGTTTTCAGGAGGGAGAAGATGTCAAGGGATGATGGTGAGGAGAAAATGGAAAATGGGACGGCTGAGGACCTTTTTTTTTTCTTAGAAAAATAGGGGTTTTAACGAAGAAGGAGCCTCCTTTCTCTCTCCGCCTCCCTCACTTTTATCTTCTTTTTTTTTCTTTTCTTTTTTTTTATTAATTAATTAATTATTTATTATATATTATTATTATTATATATTGGGCAGGGTGACAAAATTTTGAAAGCCTTCTAATTGGGGATGTCCATGTGGCTTAATGACATGAAAAAAGGTTTATACACTTTTTCCTGATTTTATTATCAATTAAATCACAATACAATAAAATGCTAAAATGTGATTGGTCAATGGCAAGAAGTGAGGATCAAGTATGAGCACCCTTGATTAAATTTCATCCAACGATTCACATTTATTCAAAGAAACACACCTAATTTAAAATGTCAAAATTGCCCTTTCCAGAAGCTTTAATTAATTTAATAGAATTAAATCAATTAAAAACCACTAAAAATTCACAACTTATTAAATAAATGTGCTA